TCAAACACCAATGATGAAAGTTACAATCTGACGACTTCCAGAAGGCTACAATTTGAAGACTTTCACGTAGAAGGTTACAATCTGACGATCTTCACAACAACTAATGAAAGCTCTACTCCTTCACAATCAACATCTGGAGTTATAATCTGATGACTCTCATATTTTCAAGGAGCCAAGACGAAGGTTACAAGGTGACGATCTTTGCAACGCTCTAGAGACTACAAATTGACGGTCTCTTCATATTAAAACACAGATATCTCTCAAACCGTAAGGAATTTGGCAAATCTGACGGAGCAAACCAAACCCTAAGGGGTTGGTTTGGTCGGCTCCGTCTCATCGAGATAGCTGATTTTTATATATAATTCGTCCAATTCCGACTTACGGTTTGAAAGTTATAACCTGTTCTTCGCAGCAAGTTATGTTCTGAAGTCCGTCTGCAAGACTAGACTTCGTCAGAACATCGGACTTAGCCTAAAGCTCGCCGAGCCCACCTAACGCGTTCTAAACTCAAAACGCAGAGGTCGTGGCTACGTTCCAGATCCAAAACGCAGAGGTCGTGGCTGCGTTCCAAACTTGAAACGCAGAGGTCGTGGTTGCGTTCCAAACTCGAAACGCAGAGGTCGTGGCTATATTCCAGAGTCAAAACACAGAGTTCATCTCTGTGCGTCTCAGGTCCAAAACACAGAGTTCATCTCTGTGTTCCAACTCTGCGTCTCAGGTCCAGAACGCAGAGTTCATCTCTGCGTCCCAACTCTGCATTTCAGATTTACAACGCATCGCGGCCTGTGCGTTCAGCCACCCAAAATAGGCCCAACTCTGCGTTTTTAGTCTAAAACGCAGAGTTCGGGCCCAGAATGCCATTTTCGGCGTTTGACTCATTCAAACACGAACCGAACAGTTCCAGGAACCGTTTTTCCCCCAAGATTTGAGGGATTTCCGCCCCACTTAGGAGCGGATTAAGGGGGGGACAGTTACCACCCTTAATCCCGTATAAATACGAGAAACTCAATTGAGTTAGAGGATCGGATTTTGTCTCATCAACCGAGGGAGATTCGGTCAAGAGCTGGCTTTTTGGATCTGAAGCTTGGCAGCAAAGAAGAGCCTTCATCCTTCGGCTGGGATTTTGGAGATCGGCAATAGGAGCTTCCTCATCATTGGCTTATAACCGAACTTTCGGTTCAAATCAACTCTTTTTCAAGAGTTCAAACTCATTCAGAGTTAAACTCGATCTGAGTTATCAACTCGTCCAGAGTTTCCAACTTGCTCTGCAAGTTCTTCTAAACTCGGTCAGAGTTTCAAACTTGCCACGCAAGTCCTCCACAACGTCAAATCGTGAGGAGAAGACCACGTTCCAGTGAATCAAGATGTTCGGATCATCAACGGAGAGCAAACTCGATGCGAGCATTCGAGGGAGGCACTCCATCGCCACCAAGAAGAACCTAATTTTAAACAAAGGGGAGAATCAAATTCATTCTCCTCTCTTTTGTAATCGGAATCCAAATTATAATCGATTTTAAAAGAATACAAATCAATTTTTTTTTCATTTCTTTTACATCGAATTTTTCCACAAACCAACCTCCAGCAAGGAATTTCCAAGCGGGACGACCACCTAACTTCTCTAGAGGGGGAGGTCAAGTCCGAGAGGTACCTCAAGGTGACGACCGAGGAGGATGCTCGATCGAGTAGTCTCTTAGCCGAGCAACTGAAGCAGGACCTTGAGGAGGAGAGGTCGGATCACCAGACGTCTGCCACAATCATCAAGGACCTAGAGGATTGACTCGCTCGCTTGGACTTAGAGCAGTACAAGATGAAAGTGGTCGATGACTAGCGTCGGGGTCCATTGGGAAAAACTGAGGTGACATTGGCTTGCAAGGCTAGTGTCGACTATCTAGCCTCACTGCTCCCTCATGCCTCTCACCCCGCGCTTGATCGCCTTTACACTTCCCAAGTCTCTTGCTGTCTCGACCTCTTAAAGGAGACTGAGGTGAGGGGAGGGGGGTTAGAGCTGGCATCGACAACGATGATGACGAATCAGGGGACGACCTTGGAGAAGTCCCTCCTGCTTCCTCTTTGCTGCTCTCGCCCTTGCAGCCTCCGCGGAGGACCTCCCAAGCCCTACTCCCGGATCTGGCCGAGGGGCCTGAGGGCTTGTACCTTTTCTTTATTTTGTTTTTATAAATATTAACATGGATAAAGTAATAAAATTTGTTCGGAATTCGAAATAAGGATTTGGACTTTGCTGTCATTCTGGAGTCCCCCTTCAATTATTTCTTATTTTTGCTTTGTTTGTTTATAGCTTTGTTCTGATTGAGAGAACAAGTGATGATTATTATGAGTCGGTCGTGTAAGGAAGACCTGAGTGTTGAGGGGTCTAAACGATCAGCTCGTTTTACACCTTTTGTTGGTGAGATATCCGGGTCTTTTTGGCGAGGACGACCGGCAAGTTAAAATATCTAGGACACCTAGGTCTTTCGGCAAAATGACAACCCGAAGGTTGGGTGTCTAGATCTTAATGAGGACGCCTAGGTCTTTTTGATACCTAGGTCTTAATGAGGACGCCTAGGTCTTTTTGGTAAAATGACAACCCGGAGGTTAGGTGCCTAGATCGTAATGAGGATGCCTAGATCTTTTCGACAAAATGACAACCAGAGGTTAGGTGCGTAGGTCTTAATGAGGACGCCTAGGTCTTTTTGGCAAAGTGACAACCTGGAGGTTGTATGCTTAGGTTTTAATGAGGATGCCTAGGTTATTTCGACAAAGTGACAACCCGGAGGCTGGGTGCCTAAGTCTTAATGAGGACGTCTAGATCTTTTCGGCAAAATGACAACCCGGAGTTTGGGTGCCTAGGTCTTAATGAGGACGCCTAGATTTTTTTGACAAAATGACAACCCGGAGGTTGGGTGCCTAGGTCTTAATAAGGACGCCTAGGTCTTTTCGGCCTGCTATGGTGGTCAAGTTGTAAATGGGGGAGCCGACCGAATGGCAAGTGTGCCTTGAGTTACCCTGAGAAGGCACCAAGGGCTTAGGATTCCTGCACAGATTTGGAACCACGATAGTGCGACGCAAGAGTCAGCTTCAAAAGGACTTCATTTATAATGAATGAAATTTTGTACAAGATTATTAAAAGTATTTTTTAAGATGCTCCTCGTAGGGTTCCCCAGGGTGAGTCGACTGATGTGGCGGCGGGGCCGCGTGTTCGACGCAATCCCTCTGCTGCTTGGTAGCAGCATGATGAGTCTGAGGTGAAACTATTCGCTAGGCTCCTGAAGGGGGGGTGAGTCCCCAATCGCTGGTCTTCAGAAGGCGGAGGGACGACAGAAGTGGCTTGCTGCTGCTGTAGTAAACGACTGAGGAGCTCACTGGTGAAGGTAGTGAATTTCTATTGGAGGGATTGAGAGATCTGCTGAGCCGTTTCTTCAAGCTGAGCTTGAGTAACGTAGCTCTGGTGTGGTCCTTCAAGGTGAGACTGGTTTGCCATATGCTCAAAACCAGATATACTTTCTCGAAAAAGAAAGAAGGCTCCACGGTGGGTGCCAAACTGTTGATGTTAATAATCAAATAGATAATATAATGGGGGTGAGGTTGATTATGGGGCCGCTACCTTCTCCGGATATTTGATTTTTAGTTGAGTAGCTTCAGCCTGCACAAATAGCAATTCGTGAGAGGACGGGGACTAGTTCCCCTATTGTTCCTCCGACGATCAAGTCAGTAGATGGACCTGAGTGGGAAAATGATGCACTGTGTGAATTCTAAAGTATAGTGCAGTGGAATTCTCAGATATTGCTTGTTTTGGTATTTAGAATAGTACCTCTATTTATAGTGGTGGAAAAAAAGGGTAGAATGGTACTCTCGACCGAGTATAGGATGGTGGCAAATGAGTATGGCCTGACGGCTATGTCAGCACCTACTTTACAGGCGTCAGCCAACGACTAGAGGAGAGGTCACCTTAATATTTAATACGAAGTGATTGGGGGTATGGTGGTGCCGACGTGACCCGATGTGTCATGAAGACTATTGGTGCTAGAGGAATGATAATGCCCGTCAAGCATTTAATGTGACACCGACGCGCTGTCAACGGTGGAGGCTCGAGGTTGAAGTCATCCTTTGGCTTGGTCGAGAAGTAATGCCTTTCAACTCGACCCCGCAAGGTGTCAAACAACTGGTCGAGTGGGCTCGTAGTGAGTCGTCTTCGATAAGAGGCCGACAAGTATCGCCCTTCGAGTTGATGTAAGGAGATGTCGACTCGACGAGTCGGCTAAGTCTGGATTCTTGGTGGTCCAGACCGTCAATTCGATTTGAGCGGTGCACGTAGAGGGACACATGTCCGTTATTGGCAAATCGTCGTACTTTGGCGACTGAAAACACCATAACATATATATTATCAGATATATATTTTAGCAACTATACCCGCATCCTAATGGATTTGAATATGGATATTTTCTCTGATACAAATATTTCTGTACACCTAGAGAAATGGATAAATTTCATAAAACTTTCTTTAACTTTGGATGATTATCAAATAATCCCATAACTTTCAAAATATATAATAATAATAAAGCTCTTAAGTTTAGGAGTTATTAGAAAATCCCCTTTAACTTTACTATTTTTTCGCAAAAAGCTCTCCTAAAAGCGTGAAGCATAATTTCCATCGGCAGAAATACCTCTTTGCGTAATTTTAGTCACTCATGTGAAAATTGCATGTTAACATTGTTGGGGGTTTTTGTAATGAAATGAAACCTTAAAGTTAACAGGGGTTTTCTGATAGAGACTGAACTTAAAGGGGTTTCCTGATATTTTGAAAAGTTGTGGGGTTTTAATCTGGTAATCATCATCAAAAGTTAAGGGGCTTGCTAATATTTAAAAGTTGGTTGAATGCGCTCCTTGGGGGGGAAACGCACCCGAACCCGCTTCACTCTCCTCTCCTCCCCCCATAATAAAAACCCAGCACGCTCCCTCACCGAAAACTCCTCAACTTTCAAAAAAAAAAAAAAAGACCACCGATGGGCGTCGCCTCGATTCTCCTCACCCTCTCTCTCCTCCCCCTCTCACTCTCTCTCCTCCCCTCTCCCGCTTCCCAGTGCATCCTCCAAGCTCCCAGCAACACCGCCTCTACTCGACCTGCAACTCGCTCCCCCACTCGGCGCCTCTCCTCCACTACACCTTCCACCCCTCCACCTCCCTCTCTCCCTTCGCCTTCTCAGCCCCTCCCGCGGGCCCGCCGGCTGGGTCGCGTGGGCCCTCAACCCGGCTCCACCGGCATCGGGCCGGCTACCAAGGGGGCCCTGGTCGCCTTCAGGCAGGCGGCGGCGGGGCGTGGGGGTCAAGACCTACAACATAACCTCCTCCGGCCATCGGAGGGCCCCATCGGGTACCGGTTTCGGATCATCGAGGCGGAGTACTCGGGCGGGGTGTGAGGATATTCGCCAAGGTGGAGCTCGGGAAGGGGGAGAGGGTTGTGAACGAGGTCTTGGCAGGTGGGGATCCAGTGTCCGTGGACGGAGTGCCAGGGCTAAGCCACGGTTCGGGCCGGAGATTTGGCGGCCGAAGGGGAGGCTGGATCTGGTTCAAGGGGTGAGTAGCGGGGGTGGGGTCGATTCCGCCTTGAAGAAGAAGAATGTGAGCACTTTCTTATCGTTTTTTTATTTATATTTTTATTCTCTTTGGGATCTCTTTTTGTTTTTTTTTTATTCCTTTTCCTAGGGGAAATTGACTGGTGGGCAAGAATTTTACTGGTTTTCTGGTGTGATGGTTGGATTTTGGGACGTGGGTTTTTCTGAAATTGCAAATTTTGTTATGGGATTACATTGTTGAAAAAAAACTTGTGCATGTCGGGTTTTTTCTTTTTTTTTTTTGGGAGTTTTTGCTACTGGAAATTGACTGGTAGTCAGGAATTTTTACTTTTTTTTTTGCGTTTGTCTCCTCGTTTTTAAAAATTTATTGTTTATGTGCATGATTTGGGGGGGAGAATGTGATCACTAAATAAAGCTGGGTTTTAGAAATTCTGTTTGCTGGGTTTGACTGGTATTTGGAGACTTCAGCTGTGTATTCATTATTTACTTCATTTCCCTATTGGGTATTTATTCGTGAAATTTAAAGATTTTTCCCTAATTTTTTTGGGTTTTATTGCTGATTTTTCTCTCCGATATCTTGGAGACTCTAGCTGTCCAATTATGAGAGCTTAGATGATGTAAAAGAGCTATCTGCTGCAGAAGGCTAGTACAGATTAATAGCGTGTTTTATTAAGACGGTTACAATTGCACGGCTGCAGACGGAAAATTGTCTTTTGATTTTAGCTAAAATTATTTATTTATTTATTTATTTATTTATTGCTCAAGAAGAGAATACAATGGATATGAAAGGCTTTCCGTGGTGTTATTTCTTTTTTGGTATTCTGTATTTCAAAACATTGCAGTCTTTGTAATTCTCTTGTGGTTACACTGAGCCTGGAGTTGTCGCCTAACTTCATGTGATAACTGTGCTCTCAATGATAGTGATTATTTTGTTTTCTTTCAATGATAGTATTCAGTTCTCTCCTCATCTCCATTTTTTTTTTTGGCTTGTCTTGTATAGTTGCAATGTCTATTATCCTTTTGTCTAGTTTCAATCTGTTGCCATAAAGCGAAAAATAACCTTGTTCTCTTCTGGGGTTTTATTGTCACATATTCCATGTTAATGACTATTAGTCACTACTCTCCGTTCATTATTGATAGGAGATGTCTGTTTTCGGTAATCTAAACCATCTTTAAGCATAGCATGTCCTAAGAAGGCTAATAATTGTAGTTCACTAGTATTTTGTTCATGTGTTATTAATCTTATAACATTAATAATGAGAAGTGCTGTTATCATCCTATTGAAATTGTTCAATACACCCGCGACGTTTTCTGTCATACTGTCCTCGATCAGTTTTTTAGCGTACAATGTGAATGAACGATGATTATTTGAGATATTCTTTACATGTCTTTATATGCCAAACTCACAATGATATCTTCTTTCTTCTTAATGTAGATACATGGAGTGTTGAATGCCGTGAGCTGGGGGATTTTACTTCCAATAGGAGCCATAATCGCTCGGTATCTAAAGACATTCAAGTCAGCAGACCCAGCTTGGTTCTACCTTCATGTTTCGTGCCAGCTCATCGGTTACATCCTGGGAGTTGCCGGTTGGGGAACTGGGCTTAACCTAGGCAGCAAATCGAAGGGAATAGTATACACCACTCACAGAAACATTGGAATTACTCTCTTCAGCCTTGGCACCTTGCAAGTAAGAAAAACTTTTACCTTACTTGAGCTTATCACACCAATCACATTACTGACAGAGTTGTACTTGCCTGGATTTAGTATGCACTTTCTTTAGTGAAACGGTACCGTAATTGGACGAAGTTTGATTTAACAGAGGAGATGAGCCTTGACAGAGTTGAGAATTTGTAGGGTTTGGATTGCTGATCATGGGATTTTTCGGACTTTGGGGTTTTGTCATTGTTGTCATACTTTGCCAAAGACCAGTTTGACACCTCCAACTGAGAAATCTTTTCATTTAATTGTCTACACTTGAAAAAGAATGTCTTGAAAATTTCTTCCCTATGTGACCATCATTTGTAAAGGGTTTTCTGCGGATAGACCTCTTGCACTATTCGCTCAATCGCAGGTAGACCCCCTGTAATTCTGTTGTTGCAGATCGACCCCCTTTCTGACTCTTTTACTCTCACTCAAGAGTAAGGAAAGGAGGGGAAGAAAAAAGAAAGAACAGCAACAACAACAACTACTACTACGTCCTGTTTCTCTGATAGCAGAGTGGGGGGTAAAAATCATTAAGGGGGACTATCTGCAACAGTAGAACTAAGGGGGTTCTATCCGCATTTGGGTGATACTGCAGGGGGTCTATCTACAACTCAACTCTTCGCAAAACTAATAGATGCGGAAACAAAATTAAGAAAGGATGCAAACTTGCTCTTTGCTTCTGGGATGCAAGCATCATCATAAAAAATATAAGTTCATTCTTTCTGATGGGTTTGGATCTGATAATTGCAGCTATTTGCATTGCTTCTGAGGCCGAACAAGGATCACAAATACCGCTTCTACTGGAACATCTACCATCACGCGGTAGGGTACACTGTCATCACACTGGGCGTCGTCAATGTTTTCAAAGGTCTGCAGATATTAAGCCCCGAAAACAAATGGAAGGAAACTTACATCATTGTGATATCTATACTGGGCGGTATTGCTGTTTTGCTTGAAATTTCAACCTGGGTAATAGTTCTCAGGAGGAAGTCTGATAAATCCTCAAAGCTCCACGATGGCTCCAATGGCATAAATGGGAGAGGAGTTCAGCAGCCATTATCGGCATAAATGTTACCATCCATTTTGTACCCCCCTTGATTTTCAGGAGATTGTGTGGTTCTCCTACGCGCTGTTATGTGACATATGATATATCTTCACTGGTTATAAATATACGTCAGTTTTAGCCTGCATGAAAATTTTACAAATCAAGAGATGGCTTGGCTTTTACTTCAATCTTTTGTATCAGATGCTCTCGAGTTCTGTTTATGTAAAGTGGAAGAAACCATGGGGTTGAGGTTCCGTGGGGTTGTTACTTACAGATTGGATGATGTGGGATTAATAATTTGCATCTTTGTTCACATGTTTTGTGGTGGTGGGGATAATGAAGCTTTAAACGATCACTCGACACCTCAAATGATGACTAGGGAAAGCAATATCAAGTGGAAGTCATTTTCAGTTATTCTTTATGTGTTGTCCTCTGGGGGTCCTTTTCTACATAGATCTCCTCAATTTGAGGAGGCCTGGCTACAGTCGCGAGTGCGGTTCACTCGCGCCGTGGCTAGAACACGTGTCCCTGATATTGTATATCAAGAACCAAGCAAGGATGGTAGTCTTTCCAATAAAAAAAAACACCCTTTTGTTTTTTCAAAAAGAGCTGCAAAGGTTAAGAAAGTAGGAAGGAAAGGGAGAGAGAGGTCCCAAAAATTGTACCCTCCCATAGTCAAGATTCTGGTAATTTGGAAAAGCTCTGCCTAGCTAGTAAAAATAAAAATAATAACAAAACTCATGAAACTAATTTTGTAGGATAATGATTAAAAAACCAAGTTTAAAAAGATCGATTCCCTTTAAAGTATTGGTGAAGTCTCAACTTTTCTCTAAAGTATCAATTTACCTTTTTTTTCCCCTTAAACTATGTGTATATGCCCAGTGTGGTCATTTTCTTATTCTACGGTCAAATACTTATCAAATTGATGATGTGACAATATTTTTTTTTTTGCATTTCTTGTATTTTTTACAATTAGAAAATGACTTTATAATTTCAAAACTGGGATAAAGGTATAAAGTTTTTGAAAGAAAGGAATATTTGACCATGGGCTTACAAACTGGCAATATTAGACACATGCAGGAAAAATAGGCAAATTGATACTTTTAAGAATGAATTGGGTATTTTACCCTTTTTTCCTATGTAGTGTCCTAACTTCAACTAGAAACTATCTGCACCAGGAAACTAACAGAACGGGTTAAACATTCGTAAAATCTGGAGATAAATTTTACTGAGTTAGACCCCCACAGGCCTTTTATAGAAGTGCGTTTAGGTCATCTAATCATGATTGCAAGCAATTATTTACCTCTCACAGGTGCTTAACAGGAGCAGAAGGCCCTCGTCTCTAAAGCAGCTTGCCTCCAGACATGTGATGCATCTTTTCCTTCAACATGATGGATACCTTAGCTTAATTTTCTTCCCTGATGCGCGGTTTGTTCTGTGAGCACCCCAACAATTTTGTTCACGTCTCCGTCGGAAGAAACAAGGACGCTGAGACGTTGTTTTCACTTTCGGAGATTAGCGTCTTTGATATTGATCTTAGTCTGGGGGATACCATTTTCTTCTTGTTAACATTATCAATTAGTTGCCCACGTGGCCTCAGAAGCTACTGTACCCTCACGCTCCTAAATCCTTTTTCATCGCCTTAGCGTTAATTAAAGAGTAGCTGGGATTAGAGCTTGATACAATTCCAACCGCAAATCTCCATTGAAGCAAAATATGGTAAAACAAAATATGGTAAAACTTCTCTTTAGCGTGTAAGCAGCAGCAGCGGCCGCTAGGAAAGCAGCGGTGACAAACCTATGGTAACTACCATGAGGTCAAACACTACTCTTCAACCATTCATCAAAATCTTCAAGGGCACCCCCCAAAAAGAAAAGACCTTTACTTTTAATAATGTTTAAGATCTCATCACACATTTGTTTTGGACACGATACAAAGGAAGTTGTGATTTGACAAAAGGTTTCTCAATTCAATGATGGGTTGCAAACTGATATCCCTGTATATGACTCACCCATCTCCCAAACAGCATCAAGAGACGCACACGAACAGAATTTCTCCGATATACCGTACCTTCTTCCCCTTTGAATTGACTAGTGCATAACAAACTTAAAACCGATATCCAGGTGTCTCAACAGAAAACTCATTCCCCTCCCACAAGCATTTTTGTCTCTAGAGATGCTCAAAGAAACACACCTGCAAGATAAAAGAAGAAGGTATTATTATAAAAAAAAAACAGAAGAAAAGATGGCAGTAGTTACAAGAATGAAAGAGAAGCATCACTAGGACAATTTTTAGGGTGTCATGTTAAAGATCAGTATCGACGTCTCCGGCTAAGTAACAGTATAATTTGTTTTAACAACTAAAAGGTCACACTATACAGCCACAGCATTCCCCCGTAATTAGATATATAGAAATTTCTTTCTTTCTTTCTTCTTCTTTTTTTTTGTGTGTTTTGTATTTGAGGAGGGTGGGGGATGGGGTGTTTTGATGGGGAAGTAATTCCTGCAGTTTGCAAGTCCTTGAGCCATAAGTATCTTCATCGTCTAAGATCAATATTCAGGAGAAAGAATTACAAATACATATGGTCCTGATGCAAGAATTAGTTGAAGATACATTTTTAGATTGCTTTTACATTTTACCCTCCAAGAAACAAGCAAAAGCACACGAGAAACAACGGACAAGTATTGCTTCACGGTCCATGTGAAGCATGGGACTGCTTTGGTAGAGATGTAAGTATACAAAACTACCTGTCCCCATAACACTTCCCTTCAACTTCTAGAATCAAATGTGTTTCAAGAAAAAGAGAGAAAAAGAAAGAAAGAGACTGCCAGCAATAAGAAAGCTCACAAAAATGTAAAATATTTGCTTAATTTCAAAGCTTCGTAGCATATCAGAACGAGGAAAGATTTAATATATTCAACTAAAGCAAGAATTTAGAAGAGAGGTCATAGCATACAGTACAAGAGTACTTGTTACAGTAATACTGATCGGTCAACTGAGCTAAACTAGGCTAATAATGCAGACATCACTAAGTGGGAAATGAAAGAGAGGAACGTAAGATAATAAGGAAAGATAGCAAGGCCTCGCCTTAAATGATCTAACTCAGTTTTTTCTTATTCATCATTTAATTACGAGATTTTAGTGCACTCTAAAGGCATTACATCATATAAAAAATAGTTAACTTAAAACTAATCCTATGAGAATCCTACAGAAGGTATTTTTAGACTGCTACAATCAGGGGATTAATCCTAATTGTTTCAGGGGTATGATAGCCTCTATGCATTTCCAGCATAGGTTTTAGCTGAAGTAACGAGAAGTACGAAGAGTTTAGGGATCTAAAACATAGTTCCCAAGGAGAACAGGTAGCTCAATGTGATCAAGTGGGAATAATGCAGAAAAGAAAGTTTACTTTCTTCACTCTCTGAGAAAATAGTCATACTTCTCTACGCAGCAGATACCAGTTTTCTAGTTAGCAGTTTTGGTTAATAACACACATAACTAGTATCCTTATTCTTCTACATGGTTGTTTATTTTGTTCACTTTATGCTGAACAATTGATAAGTGCTCTTAATCAATACGACAGCAGAATTTATGCATATTCATATCAGCAGGGACAGATGCAGTTATATGTGTAGGGGTGCAGTTGCAACGATAACATTTTATAAATTGCATGTAAACCTTGTGAAGTTTACAATCTTGCCCCCTAACCCCCCCACCCGACCTGACCCAAAAAAAAATTGCACCCCAACCTATATTTAAAACAATAATTAGTAGCAATTAAATTAGCGTATTGAAAAGTAAAGCCCATTTAGATTACAACAATAAAGTCAAATGGGTCCAAACACAATAAAAGCCCAAAATTAAAACACTCAAAATCTTGAAGAACATTCAGTGCATTCTGATCAGTTACAAAACCTAAAAGAACACTCAATGCATTAGTTACTATTAGTTTTATAGTATTATATTTTTATTTTTAGGTAAATAGATACTTATTGTCCGCACCCCAAGAAAAATTTTCTGGATCCACCACTACATATCTGGTAAGTGTGGAGTCATGGAGCTTGTAAATGTTTTAGCTCACTGAACATGCTCAGAGAATGGAAGGCAGCTTCCATTTAAAACCACATGCAAAAAATAGTCAGCTGCATTTTCCACTGATGGGATGAGCAGATGAGATGCTGTGCTAAAAGTTGAGAGTAGAGGGATATGACAATGATGAATAAACAATTGAAGACGTTTAGAATGAAGCTACTAGTGTGAGAGGGAAGAACGTAGGCATGGTGGTTATGGAAGCAGAGGCAACACTGTCGTCAATGTTGGTCAGTTGAATGAACAAGATAAAATAGAGCATTGAGATGAGTTCAGATGAGTTCAACAAAAAGGCAGTGGATGGAAAAGGATTTCAATTGTTAATTGAAAATCAACTGCTTGTGTTTGTGATTAAGTTGATTACGTTGATCGTGACAAAAGACATGCCCAACCATGATTCTGGCAAGCTCACGAATGCTTTTATTCCTACTTCAGACATACACTGCACATAGTTTTAGCATAGTTCTGCTATTCAAGAGAATGTAGATGGCTAAGCAAGGCATATAAACCTAAATCATGCAAGAACTCACAAAATACATGAATACTGAAGTCAACCAGTCTATGGCAATTACCTACCTACAACATATTCCATCAGTTGATAATTCCAGATTGGGCAAATAAATTTGAGATATCCGGGCAGTTTACTTGCTCAAGGTGATAGATATAGAGTAGGAAAAATATGCAGATCATATCCAACAAAAGCCAAGAGAATGAATGATGAAGACTAGTACACTCAGATAACAAGTCAAAATAAATACTGCAAGCAATTGAAATTAATTGGAGGATTTAAAGATGACTATAATGACTATGGGCTTGACAAAGATTGTGGAGAAGCCAATTAGTGGATAGAATCGCTGATGCCACAATATTTCAAGCTCAAATGTTTATGAACATAAAGACGCACCATAACAAGCCAATTCATATAACTACTACATGCATATATCTAAGAATATTCTGCTTATGCGTCCTGAATTGACTCACCTTAAAAGGAGTACTCCTTCAGATCTGCCTTCATCTCACCCAATTCCATGTCGGTGTCACATTCCTCTGCAGTTATAGGAGGAAGTTTTCTCGTCTTTCTCCTCAGGTTATGCTTGTGCCACTCTGTTTTAAAATGTTCCCTGTATTGTTTAGCGTCTCCCACAAAAGTATCACATGTGCTGCACTTATTTTGCTTAACTTGCTCTCCACTGGTGCTTTCCGTAGATATATTCTGTTTCTTTAACCTCTCAGCTAGCTGACCTGCCAAATCTGAGTCCCTGCTAGAATTTGACTCCTCAGATGATCGTAATGGGATCTCTTCGGGATCTTCATACTGTTCCACATGAGCATCCCCTTCCACCTGTGCTGATACAGCAAGTATATCCAATCTTCCTTGTAAATTCCTCACTAGAGCATCACAATCCCTGAAACAGCCTGGCTCGATGTCACTAATCTGCACCACAATAGCACCATTATTACATATACCATGGCAGCAAATATGCCAGTTAAAGACAAAAGGTAAAGTGGAATCATGTCCGCTATCAGCTTAATGCCTACTTGGCAAGCGCACACCTAAATCTTACGTCAGCTTGAAAGAATGGATAAAAGGTGCAAAGTTCAGCGGTAAAGAACTACCGAAAACACTTATGACCATTGCACCATACATAAAAGACGAAAGCCAAAGAAGTTCATTAAATATTCTCAAACCAAAAAGAGCAAGAATATAAAAGGTTCCCAGCTAAAAGAAATGTAGGAAACTGTTGGTGCGCAAAGGTGTGGAAAGCAAAAAAACAGAGTAAAGCAGGAGAATCACTGCTTAAGCTTTAAGGCTTTTGCATGGCTTTGTTGGAAAAATGTGCCAAATCCATTATTCAAAATTAAAAAAGAAAACAAGTGCAAGGAAAAAAACAAAAAAAAAATCGGAGATCTGAAATTTTCAGGAAAAAGGAAGAAACTTTCATAGATAAATGTCTATTTTGATGATTTATGATTAATAGAGCTTATAAGAGTTGAAAGGAGTAAGATTGGCATCGTCAAAATGAAGGCATTGCTGAATAATCGAGTTCACTCCGAATTGGTGATTGAAATAACAATGAGAGAGTAAAATGGTAATGTGAAAAATAGAATAGTGGCAAGGTAAGACGTGTTTGAGGTAACAAAATAACTTATAACCAATTTAGGTTGATCCCTTACAAAGCAGGTACTATGTGTGCTTAAGCCCGCTGGACAGTTTGAACATGCTTTAATTGCAAGTAAATAAGGTATTAGGCCCAGCATTGCCCTAAGCACTAAACACGATGACACAGAGCCTGGAACAGAAGCGCGTTAGAACCTGTTTTACAGCACAGGATCAGAAACAGGCTTTATCCTGTTTTGCCACTAAAGAACAAGTCAGTCGATGCCAGATGAAATGGAGTAAACGTCTTTAATACATCCCAAGGGCTCCTACAGTTTCAGGCTGAAGCAAAACATTCTGCAGTTAGTAGTACTAATGCAGGGCTTTACCACCACCCAACAATAAATGCCCAAAAAAAAGAAGTTTAACATTTATCTTGTAAATAATGGTATCTTGATTCTTAATTGTAAACAAGGAGTCTTAACGGTTGGTGTAACTTGTCTACAATAAATCATTGAGACCATGTAGACACATTTGATTTTCCTGTTGCAGAATCAATATATATATAAGTTCGTTTTACCAACTCACAGTCTTATCCTTAACCTTAATTAACAACTGGTTAGGAATTTGAAGGGTTGCTCCTTAGTAAACTAAGCTTACCCTGCATGAGGGGAAAAAAGGTCTCCTACCCACTAGCTGGAGAAGGCTTTTGCTGTAAACCTTTCATACTCATAGTCTTCTATGCAGTCACAAGCCTTGAAGAGTATTTTCGGACCATTTACCAACTAAACGTCATGCTTCATAGCTTTCTTTCTGGAAAAATCCATTTGTGATGACTAGGATAACAATCATTATGACAATTAGGTTAAACAAGAACTGCATAAATTGAAGGGTGCTAAAATGTAGAGAATCTAAGTAACTTCAAGCAATTATTTGTCGTCTAAAGATTACAAGTATTCAATGGTTATATATAATAAGCAACGGCTTCATTATCATGCACTAGGAGTGCAGAAATTGGCTGAAGTCTGCAGGATGGTAAACCAAAGTTTATTAACTTTTAATTCCATTGTACTTAGAAATCACAAGAAATAAAATACCAAGTCAATATAACAAATTAATAACCGGCTGTTTTCAACCCTGAGGCCATTTCCTTCTACATAGGTTGTGAAAAATGTATGTACCAACTGCTAGCATATACCAACAGGTGACTGGCCTCTCCTGGTAGTAAAAAAGTTAAACCTGCTGAAAGTAGCCGTGTCGCCCCACTAACAAGAGATCCAAAATACATCACACTTCCCAGTAAAATTCATCAAGTGAATCCAGGTTCTTAAGTAAATTTCTTAATAGTGATTATAAACTTACCACAGAGAACTGATCGCCAGATTCATCCTTCGAAATAATGCTTGCATTCCAGCTGCTAAGCTTTTCTAATAGAGAAGGAAGGTTTCCCTGAGGTACAGTTAATCGTAATCTCATAGGAGATCTTTTTATGGGAAAGTGCTTTTGAAGCTCACGTATCACTTCCAAAGCCTGCAACAAACATAAGGGCAGCAGACAAGTGAATAGCAGGAGACAGGCATCTTACATCCAGTACAGTGATTCAAACTGCTCTGAAAAATACTTTTGCCATCAAACATTACAAAATTTCACTTTCAAACAGAAGTATGCTAAAATGCCAAAAGATCAGATAGCTCAGTAAAAGCAGAAATATAAAGAGTGAACAACTAAATTGTCTAGCAAACTAGTTTTACCAGATTTGCAGTATAATGTAATTCGTAGTATCATGCAGATACAAGGCAGGCTACTTGGCAGTAAGCAGTACAAAGGGATAGGCTCATTCAAAAGGTTGGGGCCATCGTACACTTGCGAGCATTTGCAAGGATCATTTCAACATGTTGACAGAGAAATACATGCATATACGAGTAATTATATTAATAAGCAAAGTTCAAACTCCAAACTTCTGAAGCCACAGTATCTCTACAAATCATTAAATAATTTATTAGGAAAATTACGTAATATTGTCAAATACATCCAAAGAGATGAATGAATCAGTAATAGTTCGTACTACTTGTTATTTATCGGGTCCCCGTTTACGTGATCTGCATAAGTAATGCACCAATGATTGGGACATACGAATTGTATCGCAACCAAGTGGTGTGAAGGCAGATATAGTGAATTAGGTGAACACTGTTACAGCATATTCAAGAAGATAAACATCAGCTGAAGAAGATTTAAGATTGAGATAATAAATACATTAAACAAGCAAGCTAGGCTAGCTAGCTAACAACAGTATAACAGATGGGGCTCCAGAATGATTTCATATTAGCACTATACAGAGACAGGATGAAAATTTTACAAGATAAACATATTGTCCAGGAGACTAGGAAGAATAATCACTCTACCATGGAGGTCAGCCTACATGCATAAAAATTTAAAATTCAGTTGTGCAATAACTCAGGTAAAAGGAGATTCCAACATTCAGTAGGAAAAGGTGATACCCCCAAAAAAAAGATCAAACAACCAAAAGGAATATCGTTTACGGTCTCATAGACACGTAGCAATATCAGTTCATAACTAAATATTTCTTTCAGAAACACATGGCAGTAATTAAAGGTGAAATAAAAGAAAAATATACATAGCCGTAATTAAAGGTGAAAGCTAGATATATATATACACGGCCGTAATTGAAGGTGAAAAATAGAAAAATATACGTAGCTTCTGAAAAAGCTAATAATATCAGTTAGCATCACAAAGAACTACGAATCTACCAGACATATAACAAGCAAAATACCTGCTTCTTTGAGCTGTTGTGAGGATCCACAGCAAAATGTATTTCATGCATAAGTCGTTCGATCATACTAATGGTATAAGGGCGTTGAGTTTCTGGATTGATAGTCTTCTCCATCACAATCGTCGCTATATCTCGGAACTGACTTGATAACTTGGACTCTCTCTCCTTTCCAGCAACTTGAAGCTCCCCTTTGTCCAAAATCTGTGATCCACATTAGTGAAAAAAGTGTTAATTTAAGTTCGCCATAGAAGTATCTGTAATTGTAAATTCCTAACCAGAAAACCTGCACGCAAAACTATATAGAATTGAGTAAAAGAAAGGAAAAGAAAAATAGCACAAGATGAGAAATATTAACATTGAATCTCAAAGCTATGTGGAACTAGAAAGGTCAAATAAACCCAATAGCAAATGTTAGGAAGGAAGTAATGGAATCAACTTCCACCGTGTTTTTTTTTAAGGGGTAAATTAACAGACTGAGACCCAAAAAAAAAAACTTATCCTATAAAATTAACACAAGGATTTATTGTTCTCGTTGTTGTTAATCCCACCATTAAAAACTGCACAACTCGAACATGCAGCTTACACCAATTGAACCCCAGCGCATCGAACAACGGCCCAAAAAAAATAATTATTTCAATGTAATAGCTTGGACAGGTGCCGTTGAACATAGAGACGGACCTCTAAACATATCTTCGACTGATCATCGGTGCCAAATGCCCTCATCAAGTCTGTCGATTTCGCGAGGAGTGCTTTCGAGACATTGGAATAGACAGTCTGCGCTTGCAGCACTTCATCCAGATCTTTCTCCCTGCAGAAGAATTTGCGTAAAGATATAACTTAAGAAGCAAAACCTAATTGAGAGTAGGGATTCGTAACAGGCATCAGATTGAAAGAGAAATAAAAAAAAAGGATTGAGGTTAGGGTTAGGGTTAGGGTTTAGGGCTTGAGCGCTTACACCCCAGAACGCCAGGAGAGGACCTTGTTCTTGTAGCAGGCGACTCGAATCGCAATCCCATCTTCTTCACCAGACAACGCCACGTTCGTCAGGCCGCTTCTGCCACCGGCTGAACCAGAGTCTTGCGACATCTCTCTCTCTCGAACGCAGGCGCGCTCGGGAATTCTCGGATTTCGCTTCGCGTTTTGTCCTTCGATAGCTCTTTTCTCCTTTTTTTCTTTTTTTTTGGCCAGGTGCCAGAAACACCCCTCGGTTTCGGGCCGTCCTGTGGGTCCGCTTCTAGAACTTTACGGATGATTCTCGACACCCTGAAGTTTAGTCGAAGGAGCCCAAGATAACGATCGAGATGATAGATAACAATAACCGAATACGAAGTTGTTGGTATTTGTATTTATTTAATGCTATCGAAGTCAAACCCGAATTTGGACATACATATGTGGATTTTTTAAAGGAAAAAGCTCTTTGGCTCGCGCTTTAACGCGCGAGCCAACTCGCGCACTAACAGGGGGG